TGGTATATCTTCAAAGTACAGAATACTATGAAATTAGGGTTCTGCTAAAAAAATTCTATTGAAATAGACTCCAAGTCTTGTTTCTTGCTTAGAATCAGCATTTATAGGACAAAATAATCTGTCCAACACATGCAAATTTTGTAATGGCTAATCATTTGTTTGTGGTAGAAATGAAGATAATTTGCTTCCAATTATCCTGTAATCACCCAATCTCCCTCTCGGTGATGGGATTTAAACTGAGTTTTAGGTGATTTTTTATTACTAAATGATACATACAAATCACTAACTAGTACAATGTCTTCTGAGCAATTTCTTCTCACTTCATTTCATCCTTTGATTGTGCATGGGTCATTTAGGTTTGCATGACATACATAGATGACACAGTTTTATTAAAAATACTTACCAATTAAAAAGATACAAAATAATAATACATTGTTCAAATCAATAGGAGAGTGGTTCGGAGACCAGAGCACACTGAATTCAAAGGAAGATGAAAATATACACTTCAAAGAATGATAGAGAAATGAAAGCAATTTATATTAAGTCAATAGGAAAAGGCACAAAGAGAGAAAGTCTTGATGTAATAAAGCCAGAATTATAAAGGTTTTCTGCCATAATGAAGATAAATAGACAGACAAACATATCCAAATAAATGATACATTCACATACACACATGCACTATGGAGAACATTTTTTTTGAGGCACTACTTTACTGCAACTGGAAAAATCATCATTTATCTGTACCCAATGCATAGAAAACAGGGGGACAGACCAAAAAGTCTAGTTTCCCATTGTTTGCCAAAGAAGTTTCAACAAAAACTCTGTTTTCCTTAATAATATATTGTATCTCAAACTATCTGACTGTTTATATCCAGGTGGGGATTCTAGCTGGTCAGACTGGTTCTATAGAACCGGTTGTTACGATTCTGCGCAGTTCAGAGAACTGGCAAATCGTGCCACTTGCTGGCCCCTCCCCTCCCATTCACTCTTTACCTGATATGCATGCCATCAAACTTGCCTGCTAAGTTGCTATTTTTCCTTCCCCCCCCCGGACCATCAGCTGTTCTGCTGTGCCGGGAGATTTAGATTAACTAGAAAGCAGGAAATCATTGGATTTCTTGCTTTCTAGCTAATCTAAAAGCGGAGCTGAACTTTCCTTAGGACCGAAGGTTCTATTTTTCTATTTTTCAGTGCAGACTCAGGTAGCAGATTGCAGAAAGGTAGATCTCTGAGTGAATCTGTGATTCTGTGAGCAATTCAATCTGCCTGCCTGCTTTGCCTGATTTTGGGTAAAAGTTGCTGTTTTTTTAATAAAAAGCATCAATATTTACATCAATATTTACAATATTTATAAAGGGCAAACCCGGCCAGTCACATGACCACCAAGCCACACCCAGCCAGCAAGCCATGCCCATCCAGGCACATGACCACCAAGCCACATCCACAAATTAGGCCACACCCATAGAACCGCTTATTAAGAAATTTGAATCCCACCCCTGTTTATATCCTCAAGAGTCTAAGCTTTGCTGGCTGGGGAAATCTGGGAGTTGAAGTCCTCCAGGCTTAAAGTTGCTAAGGTTGGAGACCCCTGCCTCAGTTAACAAAGCTTCCTCCATATGATACCTCTGTAGTTGCGTTAAATTCACAAGTGGAATCTCTTGCTCTCCATATCTGTTAAGCTTTTTTCTTCATCTGGATCATCAGTTAAGCCCTCAACTTTGTTCCTTCCTCTTTCCCTTTTTTCACATCCTATTTCTCTTTCTACTAGTTTTCATCTGAAGATGCATATGTTTTATCTTCCTATTTTTTTTGAACCAATATCTTTACCTTTACACCTTTTATCTTAGTAACAACCTTTTATTTTCTTCTTATAGCTTGTACAGTATTATACAGTATTACCATGTTGTTCTCATTCCTCCACTCTTTTAGCCATGGCATATAAATAAATGTTGCTTGCAGCCCATTCTTCACCTATCACAGCACAAAATTTCCACTGAGGACTTGGTCACAAAGGATATAGAGTACAAAAAATAATAATCTCCCTTCTGCTTTCTGCCACACGAATGAACCCTATTTTTTTCCTAACAGTACTTCCACCTGCCAGCTGGACAGTCAGTTGACAGACTTGCTACTCAGCTTCAGGCAATTATATTCTGGATTCTGCCCCCTACCCAGAAAATATTGAGCTCCTCCCCACACCCAGCATAAAAATACTATAGAAGGGAAGGGGAGGGAAGGGGAAGGGAGACAAGAAAGAAACCCTCCAGGCAGCATAGTACTCAATGAGCAAAAAATATTATTTGCATAAAATGAGTCCTAAAATCTCTCTTGCTTTCTGCTGCACACTTGAGAGGAAAAAAAAACATAAAATGCTCTGTGTTGCACATAAAAAACTCCCCTCACCATTCTAAGACTACAGTTGCACCATTATGATAGGAAAATGTTTAATTATCTATCAATGCAGAGGAAGACCTATATTATACTGTGTTGCATTACAAAATTGAGTCTCAAATATTTTATAGATGATCAAGCAAAATATCTTGTGACCCCAAAAAGTACCTGACCCCAAATCATGTTTGTTGCTCAGAATCACTATTTACAGGAGATAATGACGTGTCTAATACATGCAGAATCTGGGATAGCTAATTATTGTTTGTGCTCTAGATACAAATAGTTTTCAATTGTCCCAGAATCAGCCATTGCCCACTCTAAATGATAGGATTTAAATGGACTTTTAGGTGAACTTTCAAACCTAATTGATACATACATGATCACTAATTAATACAAGGTCTTCTGGACAATTCTCTCACACTAACATATATATTAGATAATTAAATGAACTAGCAAATTTTTCAGGCTGGAAATTAGATGATTATGAGTTCTAGTCCTGCCTTACACATGAAAACTGGCTGGATAACTCACTTTCTCTCAGCACATGACATCAGGCTCAGATGACAAGCTAGTTGGTCAAATCCTGGCACAACCAGTCGATCGACACTTGGCTGATTTGAAAAAAAAAAAGAACGCTGCACCTGCAAGAAAAACATGATAGAAAAAAAGAGAACTAACACAATGCATCCATAAAGTTTCAGAACTGTTGAAATACATGATGGGTCTATCGATACTATAATTATATCAGGCACAACCAATGACTTTCCTTCGACACAAAGGTGTTAGGAAAAACATAACACAAAATAAAAAAGAATAACAGCCCCTCCTAACCAAACAAATTGATTCCAGAAACCCTGGAATTTGTAGTACTTTTTAATTTGGTGCAGGCTTTTATTGAAATTCAGAATATATCCTCACTCTAAAAAGGTTCTAAAGAGAAGAAAGTGAGCACCTGACTTCTGCCAACAAAGAGCTTATCTCCATCCATCCATCCATCATCTTAGTTCTGCATATGGAAGATGCTGCTTTTCATTGGGTTAAGATTGTAGTTCAGTTATGTGAATATTAATTTATTGCAAAGTGGCAGAGAAGACTGCAAAAAAAGATAGCCTTTACATATTCAATACAGAATAGTTTTCCTTTCCTTTTACCTATTTGGTTTGGATCTGTCCCTCCAATTGCATTTGGTGGTGGTAGTTCAATCTGCACAGGGCTCTAAAGAGGACCTGTTCAAGTTCACATAGGGGTTGTGTTATTTTAGGGAAATTAGTTCTTTGGGTTCAAAGTATCTGCCTCCATCAGGGGAATTCTCTTTTGTGAAGTTTTACAATATAGGACCAGAGGAATCTATATCTTTGCCCTGAGTCCTGTAGTTTCTAGTGTCTCTGCATCCTTGGGGTGAATAGCAACTGGGGACCGATTTACACCATATCCTCTACTGGACTCTGATGTTGACATAAGGGGAGGGTCAGGTTTTGTTTTCCTTTTTTCCCTTTCCCCCCTTATTTAAGTGTAGAAGACAATATACTGTATTGTATTCACACCGTTTCCTGCCTCTTTCCCTTTCGGGGCATGCCAATGGTTGTGGAACAGTCCAAATACAAAAAGTATGTTTTTAGAAAGACTAAACTGGCAATAATGGAAATACAATTAGATGGACTATAACAGGGCAGTGAAATAATATTGGGTTCCCATCCCCAATTTATTTTTGGGAAGAGATTTGAGGTTTATTTTCGCATGTGTATGCTCTCGGTAAACTCATGTTTAAAAAAAAAAGTGAAATGTTAGAGCAGGGGTCTCCAACCTTGGCAACTTTAAGACTTTGGACTTCAACTTCCAGAAGTCCACAAGGCAGCGGAACACGTATCCGGGAGTGTTGCGTCTATAGGAGCAACGATGCTATTTATCTGCTGCACCCCGGAGTTATTTGCGATATAGGCATTTTATCGTTGTTCGTGGGAATGTTCCAAACGTCTGTGGTGTTGTGCGTATGTAAACAATTTTTTCCCCTCTTTCTTTCCCGAAGCTTAAGGTTTGCAAACCCACAGGTATTTCTGGAAGCTTCTGGCAGCTTCTGGCAACGGAGGCAGGGAGGACCCTGGCATCGCGAAACACGGCAGCAGAGCCGCTGTCCATTTCATGTCTGCCAGGCGGGAGTGGGGGGGAGAGGGAAATAGCTTGGAGACCTACAGATGTGTGTGGGGGGGGGGTCTGGGTTAGAAGGCGGCTTTTACTGGCAGGGGTCTCGCAGGGCAGGCGAGTTCCCATGGGCAGCTTCAAGGGGAAGAGAAGGGGGCGGGATTCAGTGGAAATTTCCACTCTCTGCAGTAGTATTTGCGGCCACGGATGAAAGAGGAGGGGTAAAAAAACAACGGCAGAAAAGGCGGGACAGGCATTACTGTGGGGAAGGTGAGGCAGCGCCCGCAGGCCTCATTTCAAGCACGGGGCCGCCTTTCCTTATGAATTGGACGGGTTGGAAAGAAAGGGTCTCCCGGCGTAATTTGGGACAAGCCCACCTGAAGAAGCCCCTTTTTGCCCCCAGTCCTGGGAGGACAAGGAGAGGAGAGGGCGGGAGAGTAGCGCCGCCTGACGCGAGCAAAGGGGCGGGCCCGCCGGGTGCGCGCACCAGCCGACCTCTTTTAAACACCCGGCTGCCTCCTGCTCGGTACAGCTGGAGACGCGTCCGATCCTTTCCTGCGCCGCGCTCCCCTTGTCTGGTGGGGCTGAGCCGCTCCTCTCCCGCCAAAGATGCCCCGTTATGAGTTGGCTTTGATCCTGAAAGCCATGCAGAGGGTGAGTGGGTGTGGACGTTGTGTGATTGTGTGTAGAACCAGCCACTGCCCTTTTCGGTGCCCTTGCCCTCTTTTCTCCGCCAGGAGGTATCCCTCTTCCCTTCCCCCGTTTCAGACGCTGTGGTTCCGCGGGCCGCCCAGCTTCCAAAACCCCGGTGAGGCTCCTGCGCGCCCTGGGTTTCTTCCCGGCAGCCCTGCACGTCCGACCATGTGTCATCCTTCCTCCGCCGCAACGTGCGGCTGCGAAAAGGACGGCCTTTTTATCCCGCCATTGCTGGCTTTTCTTTCGTTATCGTTCGGCGAATCACTTCGGGAGAGTTCGAGGGCGCTTTCGCAATTGAAACAATTGAAACTCTTCTTCTGCTTCTTAAGCGGCTTCTCCCTTCCCTGAAAGCGCACGTGTAATCTCGTGGCCTTTTTCTTTTTTTCCTTTTTTAAACACAACGCGATTAAAGGAGCCGCTCTTAGCCGTTTAGGAAAAGGTGCCATGTTTAAACCACAGTATATTTTCCCCCTTCCCTGAGCGCTTGGGTTTTTCCACGGGCCGCGCGCGCGCAGGGACTTCCCCTTAAGCGCAGAAATCATCGCCCCGCTGCCCTTGTTAAGTCGTGGCGGTGTTTTATTGAGCCTGATCGCAGCATTTTTTTTTATTTTAGGACTGTTTCATTTTGGCACTTCTGGAAAGCTGCATGCTTGATAATTGCTCTCCTGATAGTTGTTAGTCGATCATCTTTTAAATGCTTCTCCCATTGGAAGCTTTTGATTGCCAAGATGTACAGAAATATTAATTTTATACATATAAATAGAACATAAATGGCTGGGATTGATTTTTTTTTTAAAGATGACCCTAGGACTCTTTAGATTTACCTTTGAAACCAGCTGGGGTTTTCTAGAGCGCTTGAAAGGTAGCATTGAAAGATTGCTTGATTTCTGATCAGTAAGTGTGCCTGGTGTTCAAAATAACAGATGGCAAAATAGATAGAATTGGGTGGGAGTCCATAACTCAAGTGCAGAGGGCCTATTTTTCACATTGCAGGTTTGAGATTCATGCAGAAATAAGAACGCTAGAAAATTCTGGGAAAGTTTCCTGAAGCATATAGTGGTGACAGGGTACTGATAAGTGACTCCATATTAAAACAGATTCTGATATTGGTATATACCAGTGGTGGTTAACCTTTTTGGGCTCCCGTGCTGAAATTGCGCTCGCACGTGCAAGCACCCAGAAGGCAATGCTCACACTCCCTGTGCATGCACATGCTACTCCCCCACATGCACATGCGATCCCTGTATGCTATGTGGCTCTGCGCGTGCGACCCCCCTGCATGTGCCGTGCATCTCTGCGCGTGCACATGCACCTCCCACATACCCCTGGCCCCTGCGCATGCGCGCCAGATATCTGACAATCAGCTGTAGCGCAGGTGGTGTGGGCGGTGTGTGCGCATGCACAGTGGGGCTCTTCTGGGCAACCTCTCGTGCCTCTTCCGGCAGGCGTGCCATAGGTTCGCCATCATGGGTATATACTGAAGAGCATGACATAATTTCGAAAAAGGAAATGGGTAATGATTTAAATGTATTTATTTGGGTAAACTGGTAATGAATGCTTTAATTAGAAATTTTAGTTTTCTCATAAATACAGAAGACTGTGCAGCTCACAGTATTTCCTTGCACTATACGTAATTCTATATGCAGCATAAGTGCAAAGTCCCACTGAGGTTAGTGAAGTTAACTCAAAGGAGATGTTTACAGTCTTAAAACATTTTTGCTTATGGAGCTCTTCGCTTACTAAAAATTTATTATACACATGAGAGGTGTTATATATTCTACATATTATGTTTCTGAATACACAGTCAGTTTTACTTGGGTTTTATGTTTCTGATGTTTGGGACCTGGGTTTGTAGATTTTGGAGTATTGTCACACATTTGTTTCTGATTGCTTACTTTAATGTGTAATTTTCATACATTCCTGGGGTATGTTCCATAAAATGCAAGATAAATTAGCTATGTTTCAGGATATACAAGTTGCTGGGCCATATAATTTTGGACCATCTCAGATGTACAGTACATTTTAAAAATATTTTAGAAAGCATAGACAGATTCTGTTGAAATGGTACCAAACATTTTGGAAGCAGCATTTCTGAATTAAAGTCCAAAGAATTAGGATTTTGCAACTAAAGAGTTCACAATCTGTATAAAACAATAACCCTGGCATAATGTCATATCAGATATTTAAATAAGACTGTCAGCTTATCTAAAGAAACAAAGCTTTCCTTCTTAAAAGAAACACATGCCCAAGAAATAGTCTTTATCGATCATCTTTGAGTTCCATGTTTAGATAGAAATCTTCCAAATCATTGCTATGTAGATTTAAAAATACAAATAATTCAGTATGGCTTTTTAATGAACAAACAGCATAAGGAAGGAATTGCTTTAATTTGATCTGCATTTACATTTAGAATTTTCGGTCCAAAAGGCACTGTTGTACCGGTGTATTGCTAGTCAGATGAAACTGTGTTCTGGTAGATAGATATTGCTAAGAACATACATTTTCTGAGGATAAAAATATCTGAATCAATTCAGATAGAAATACAATAGAAGCAAGAGTGTAAGCCATCTAATTAAAATATTTACAGTATTTGCTATTCTAATGGAACAAAATAAACAACCACTGCCCTTTGTCTTAATGACAAAAGTTTAGTGTATTCTATAACAAACATGGTATTTAAAAGTGGTATATTTAAAAATGTATATAAAATAATTTAAACCCAATTGCATATCTCAATAAGCTTGAGATATATTTCTCATTTCTATTTTATGTCCTTTCAGAAATACATGTACTTTATGAACTTGCCCAGAAGAGGGCAAGAGAGTTAAATGTTTTTCTGATTAAAATATAGGTTTTTTCCATTCATGAGAAAGTATTTCGCTGACCTCACTTGTCTGTAAATAAAAACTGCATACTTAAAATTGACTCCACAAGTAATACATGTTATTTCAAATTCTTCCTAATGTATTCCTGCAAGTGCAAGGTCTGTTATTTTAAATTACTCAGAGAATTTTGTATTATTTTGGGTTAAGGTAAAGGTTCCCTCACACGTGTGCTAGTTGTTTCTGACTCTAGGGGGAGGTGCTCATCTCCGTTACAAAGCCGAAGAGCCAGTTCTATCCGAAGACTTCTCTGTGATCATGTGGCCGGCATGACTAAACACCGAAGGCGCACGAAGCACTGTTACCTTCCCACCAAAGTGGTCCCTATTTTTCTACTTGCATTTTTTTTGTACTTTCAAACTGCCTAGGTTGGCATAAGCTGGGACAAGTAGTGGGAATTCACTCCATTATGTGGCACTAGGGATTCGAACTGCTGAACTGCCGACCTTCTGATTGACAAGCTCAGCGTCTTAGCTACTGAGCCACTGTGTCCCTTATATTATTATTTATATATAAATAATATATTTGTATATAAAAATATTATTTTTCTTATAATAAAAATTTATTTATATATATACATACACACACACACACACACACACACACACACACACACACACATATAGATGATGGCAGATGAGATTCTGCTGAAACGTCGCTACAACTTTAAAAGCACAACTACTATGACGTGGGAAAATACCCGAGCAAAGCCGAATTCCATATATATATATATATATATATATATAATTTTACTATGTAACAAAGTTCATTGTAGAACAGGTTGTTAATAAGGAAATTACAAAAATATACTGCTTTTCCCCAGTATATAAAGGAATAGAACAAGAATGATGAAAAGCATAGTAATGTACTAAACAGTTAATTTGATCTAGCATTATGAGTTTTTATATCATTTCTTCATTTGGAATTTTTCCCAGTTCTCTGTGTTAGAAATATGAGTTTTCATTTATGAACTGATTATTGTTTATGGCCAAAATTCTATTCCTTTTGAAAAATTAAATGTTTTCTTAGATGTATTCATGGAGACTAGAACATGGTCGCATTTAGAGATTCCTACTACTAATTGGTTGCTTCTTTGAATTCTGTTGGTTGATTGGCTTGAAAAATGGACACTGACTTTAAAGTGTTGACAGTGTGCTTTAAAAACTCTTTATGAAATGTAGATAGTCATACATGCTTTTGAAGATATCATTACAGATGATCCTTGACTTACGACCATAATTAAACCCAAAATGCCTGTGGCTAAGCAAGGCAGTTAAGTAAGATTTACTCCATTTAATGACTTTTTTGCCATGGTTGTTAAATCAATCACTGCAGTTGTTAAGTGAATGATGTGATCCTTAAGCAAATCTGGAATCCCCCCCATTGACTTTGCTTTTTGGAAGTTAGCTGGAGAGGTTACAAATGGTGATCACATGACACCAGGACAATGCAGCTGTCATAAATACATGCCAGTTGCCAAATGCCCAACTTTTGATCATGGGATTGCTGCAACAATAATAAATGTGAAAACCATAAGTCACTTTTTTCAGTGCTGTTGTATCCTTGATTAGTCACTAAATAATTGGTTGTTAACTCAAGAGCTACCTGTACCAGCAGAATGATGGGATTATTATTATGTAATTGGCAAGTTTCATTGCAAGGCTGTTTCAAGAGTTTAGGGCTCACACCATATATGACTAGCATTAGGGTATATATGTAATTAAGTTTATTAAATTGTGTTCAGAGAATAAAAAAAGACTGGAGAATGAATTGCAGTAAATTACAGTAATATCTCTCCATATATCTTGTTCGATTATATATTGTATGTATATGAATTTAAGGATAAAGTTTTTATCATTTTTCTTGAGGGGGTATATTTCTCTTTATATAGGTTGGCAGATGTAGATATTCAATAGATCAATGCCAGTTTAAGTTGGAGCTAATTGATTTAGTTGACATTAAGGAGTGGGTAACTGCTGGCAGGATCAAGTAAGGTCAAAGGTATGTGGATTATTTTCTGCATTAACAGTGACTGTTAGGTTAATTTACTTCATTGTCATTGCATCTCGTACAACA